TTTCTCTACATCTGGGGAAGATAGAAAATGCTGATGAAATATGGAAAAACCATGTTGGTGTTAGGCTGCAGGTAAACTTTCAAGAAATGATATTTATACTTATATTACATGATACACATTCTTTTGCATATTCCTCTACCGCACTAGGTGATCCAATTACCGTGAAGTAACATATTCCAAGGCTTGAAAACCTTGGAGGATTTGAACCTTTCCATTTGTGTGAATGTTCATTTGATTTGGCTTATTTTCAAATTCAGAAAAAAGGTTCCTTTTTGCCCCTTTACCTTTATTTCCTGGTTTTGAGGTTGTTTCTGGGTTGGGTTACAAGGTTTATTATAGCCATATGTAATAATTTCCCATATTATGAGCTTACTTTGTTAATCATATAGCCAAGGCATAAGAGTCGCCTCTTTATTGTTCATTGTTTTCTTTGTATCATTGTCTTACTTCCATTTATGTTAACTCTGGTATTATTACTTGTTTTCTCAGCCACCCATTGGGAATGATCGAGTATCAGAATTAGGCAAATGGGAAGACAGGGAAGTAAAAGTGTCTGGAACCAGTTGGGTTGTGAACAGTGTCGACATTGCAGCAGCTGGATTGGGTTGGTTTTCCTTGGGTCTAAAGGGTGAAGCATCATTTACATTATGGACATACGATGGAATTGAGATTACCACAAGAGAGCCATTGGTTCTTGACCGGGCACCATTTATCGAGAGACCTGGATTTTGGCTACCCAAAGCTATATCAGATGCTATTGGCAACCAGACTAGATCTGAAGCTAAGAAAAAGAAACTTCAAGAGGAAAGTTTATTTAACCAAATAGGTAATTAAATAATGATAAAAAATTAACTAAATTATTAATTAGTTTTAAATTATTATTATTGTTTTTTTTTAATTTAAATTAGATTAGTAAAAAAATTTGGTTGACTAATAGTTAGAAGATTAAAAAATTGAAATTGAATATATAACCAAAAAATAAAATTTTATATTAATAAATAAATTATTATTATTTTAAATATTATAAATAAATATAAAAATCATCTTATTAAATTTCATTTTTAAATTTTACTTTATAAATTTTGTTATAATTTAGTATTTAAATTTAAAATATATCTAAAAGTTAAAAAAAGAAACTTCAAAAATCATATTTTACTCTTATTTTTCTATCTTTTTTGT